TTGCATTTCTCGGATTGTACGGAGGTACTTTCGACGCCAAGCAATGATGTCGTATCGTTCGAGCAATGTGGAATTCCTTTTTCTCTTTCGGAAGAGGAACCCCAAGTCGTTCAGCATTCGTTGAATCGTGCGAGTGCTGATCGTCGGCATGTCCATGTCAGTGTCGCTGATGACGTCGTTGCGTAGCTTCTCGGCCGTAGGCACTTCACTGCGCATGAAGTAGCCGTGCACTTTGCACCGCAATGCTGCCAACGCAAACGTGTCGTAGCGCTGCAGCCTCGTTTTGGCGGTCATGCGCTTCCCAGCTTCGCCCGAAACCGAGAAATCCAGTTTCTTATGCTTTGGAGAGGGAAGTGGGGCCCGCAGAGCTTCAGCCTTGATTCGTGTTACCGTTCGCATACTCACTCCGGTGAGTTCGACAACACTCCGGCACACAGAATTCGTCGACAGCTCGGGCTCAGGGCGTCTTACTCCAGCGTAGACGTTGCAGATAACCTGCTTCGTTTGCTTGGAGATCCACTTCTTGTCACACTTAGTGTATAGCCTCCTCGGACAACTAAAAGGAGAGTTCGCGGCCACACACGATACCGCCGGCACCGGGGACGCCATGTTTACTGCAAGAGCAAGCAGCAGACGCAGCCGGTGTGCGGAAAACGTGGTGCCGTCCAAGAAAAAAAAGAAAAAAAACTGGGGCGCACGATCACTTCTTTTCCATGAACAGCGTCCCATACTTGTTCTATCCTTATAATGAAGAAAGTTTTATTTATTCGGGCCAACTAGGTATTAGAATCAGAAAATAAAATAGGTACTATTTCCTGGCGCGTGCGCATGCAGGCGGTTCGGCTCTATAGCTTCCACAGTGCTGTCAAGAAAAGCTGTCGCCGAGTATAGCGTCATGCGCTCCATAAGTCTTCCTGGACACGATGTCAGTGAAATTGGGTGAAAATTCCCATTTTCGTTTGGTGTCTTATTGGGCTTGAGGATAGGAATTACAGTGGCCATTTTCCGCTCTGCGGGTATATTGCCTGTTTCCCAAGCTTGGTTGATGGTGTCGAGAAAAAACTTCAGTTGTGTTTCGGGCAAATTTCTTAACATCTTATTGCTTATGCCATCCGGGCCTGGCGCTGTCTGCCTTTTACAGGCACCGATAGCTATTCGCAGCTCTCCCATTGAGAAAGGTCGGTCGAGATCTGAAGAGGTGCCGTCAGCTAATACCGGAAGAGGATGAGCGCAAGGCATTGTCGTAGCTGTTGGAAAGAAGTGGTTGGCGATTTCTTCTGCCAAAGTTTGCAAGTCAATCCCATTCTTGAGCTGTATTACCTCTAGGTGGTTCTTTCGTTTGGGTTGCCCAAGTAAGGTGCGAAAATGAGACCATGCTCTGCTCGTGTGCAAGCTGTTGCCTGCGTGTTCACAAATATCCACCCAATTGTCGGTGGATAACTTGTCCGCATACTCTTGCGCTTCTCGCGTGATCTATTCTATGTGGGACTTAAGATGTTTGTTTAGTTTGTTCCGTTTCCATCCCCAAATTAGCCCATGCCTTTTGTCCCAGAGGGTCAGAAGGTGTCGATCAATCCGTGGGTTGTCATCATTGCGCTGAACTGTCTTGGTGGTTTGTCTATGTGCTGCAAGCAGAAAACGTTCGTTTAGTTTGTTCCGTTTCCATTCCCTAATTAGCCCATGCCTTTTGTCCCAGAGGGTCAGAAGGTGTCGATCAATCTGTGGGTTGTCATCATTGCGCTGAACTGTTTTGATGGTTTGTCTATTTGCTGCAAGGAGAGAACGGTCCCAATCTTCAAGTGTTGACGTTTTTACTTTTGTAATGACCTTGCGAAAGACGTCCCAATTTGTAAGCTCCAACGGTATTGAGTAGTACCCCCGCCTGAGACCTCTTTTTCGATTAGGTAAGGGAATTGTAATTTCGAGGATGCAGTGATCACTGCCGAATGTTTCACCTAAATTGCGCCAGTACGGTGTCTTCTTTGTCCTGCCCCTGCAAAATAGGGATTTGTGTCACGCTGCACAGAATTACCGGTTCTAGTGGGCTTGTTGACATTATTGAGAAGAGAAAGGCGGTGTGTGTGGGCCAAATTGAGAAGGCTCCTTCCGGCCTCCGAAGAGGCATGGTAACCCCAGTAGGTATGACAGCTATTGAAGTCACCTGCCCATAGCAAATCTGTTTTTTCATGTTTCTTGAAAAGGTTGTGCCATGGGCTACGGCACATTTTTGAATTAGGTAGGTGATATGTATTGATGATGCTTATGTCATACTGTCGGAAAAATCTGTATTTTAAGGAAATGCTTTCTTCTTTCTCTTGTGGCAGCCCTTAGGACACGAGGGCGCTCATGAGGCACTTGTGCTAGTACAGAATATTTTTACACGTTTTTATTATCAAAACCATTGTCACCCTTTTTTACTATGCATATCACGCCACTGTCATGATTTTAATACTTATGTTTTTACCCGCATTATCGCGAGGAATTTTAAGGCCCTTATACAGCCACCAACATATCATTGTCCACATCTTTACTCATTGAAATGGCACTCTTTGGCCATCAATTGGCCCTTGCGCCATAAGCGCCACACATAATCATCATCAGGTTCCTGCACAACAGTGTGTTGATCCGATACCAGCTTCGTCCGATACCATGATTCGGTATGTAGCTTGTGCAGTTCCATACCTATGTTTTCGTGGGATGCTAGGAGCACTATAGGTTGTATAGCCTGGTAAGGAGATTACTGCTTAATGGTTCCTAGAGAACTATGACATCTGATTTTCGTGGAGATTGCGTAATGAAATGTAAGAGGGAGCTACGTTTCCGGCGAATACTTCGACAGTTCCACTGCCACACGATAATCCCTGTAGTGGGCTGTGACGAAACGGCCTGCGAATCACTCGTCTCCATTATTATGATTGGTGAATTTATACGGGTGTGCATCGTCACGTGCCGTACCTCGAATGCGCGTTGTCGCTGCATTTCTGAGTAGTTCAAGCGACTGCGCTAGGGCTGCTATTTGCTTGAGGATCACTGCTTGTTGTGTCTGTATCTCATCTTGCTGCTTCTGCAGAAGATTAGGTCTTCTTTTATTTGTTTCTAACCGCATATAATTCTCAGTCTTATACGCGAGAAAATAATGTGGTGCTGCTGATACCTGTGTAGCAGCAGAAGATGAAGTAGGGGTAGATGAATGTGTAGAGGTCTTATGTTGTTTTGTGACACTGCGACCCTGTGGAGTGAAAGACGGACTCACCTTGTCCGACGGAGACTGCCTTGGCTGCTTGCGTGGTGGTCCTTCGGAAGGCGTAGGCGGCTTTGGGGATAGGAGGGCCTGTAGATAGCTAGGTGTTTTCGGTTTGGGTGATGGTGGTGGTAGCGTCGGTCGTTTCGTTGTGTGGCCTGGCAGACTGCCCGATCTGGGTCGAGGTTCAGGTCGTGGGTCCGGTGTGGAATCTTGCAAAGCTGAAAACCGGTTCTGGAGCAGCAGTGAAGGATAGTTCTGGTCGTACTTCTTGGCTGGTTTGCTTAGTCGACTCTGGCTTGCCTGGCTCTTCTGAGGCTCCGTAGAGTCCGTAGGTGTGGTCTTTAGTCGTGTTTTTCCGCGGCGATGCGGGCGAGGTTGTCGGCCAGCTGTTTCTTGGGACACCGTGCCCCATGCGGTCCCTCGCAGTTGAAGCACTTAACTTCACATTCATGCGCTGTACGCCCGGGTTGTTTAACGGTAGGAACTGTTGATCACGTGTTTCGCAACTAGTAAATTCATGTGCCGTGGGACATGCATCGGCGCGGTGGCCTATGGTTAAAGAAATGATGCACTGTACCGCGCGAGGGCGAAAAGGTTGAGTTTTTGTGAGCCACAGGCCCATCTTGACTTCCTTGGGTACCGTGGCACCCTTCACTGTCAGAAGTATTGTCTCGGAATTGCCTATGCGACGTGCTGCCAGATTCTGCCGGTCTTCAATGGTAATGATGCTGAGAAGCTGGTCGTTAGGAATATTCTTTGGAAGGCCATGAACAACGCAGCGTGCGAGTTGTGCTTCGGTTGCCACATAGGCAGTCACATCATGGCGTTCCCCAATTAACGTCAGTGAGCGCAAGCCAGCGAGTTTCTGCGCCGCCGATTCTCGTCCACTCGTCGCCGCGACAAGGTTCTGTAGTTTTCTTACTTGTATGCAGACGCCGCGCACCTCAGACGCTGTGAGTCCTGCAGCGACGCCAATGGCGTTGGTGACTTGGTAGGTCGGATACTTTGCAACGTGGAGTTTTATGCCCAGTCTAAGGATGATGGTCTGTGGGCTTACGTGGCGTCTCACAACATGCACGGGATCGGTTTGATGATCTTCACCTTGGTCTTGTGAATGTTCCATGGTTGTTTTGTCCTCCATCACTCCGGAACGCAGGGCCGCGTTTCTCCCTGCTGCTGGGGTGGTTCTGGCAGCTAGGGTTAGCGAGGCTGCTGCGTCGCAGATACGGAAGTCGGCATCCAAAACAAGATTGCACTGCTCTGACGTGCTCTTTTCGATGTCCATGTGGCGCCGGAACACTGGTCGAACCCTTGAAAAGAAGCAGAGAGTCGTTAATCCAGTGACTCGGGTATTTTGGGCGAAAATTGCGGAGCCGTGGCGAGATGCGCCTTGTTGCCTCTCTTCTCCAACACTCCCAAGCTGAACATTATCGGGCAGCGGATAGTCCAGGAGTTCGTTTACCTAAAGTATTCTTGCACAGTGGCCCAAATGTATTATTGCATTGAATATAGCAACGTTTCATAAAAATTTTTGTATGAAATCCACCAATTACCTTTTTATAATAATTATTAAGCATAATTAGCATAATTACCTTCCATAATAATTAAGCATAACAATGCTAATTTCAAGCTTCAAGTGTATGAACTTAAAACACCAGTGCCAAACATTCCTGCAATAAGGTATACATGAAGAAAACATTGGACTGAATCAGATTTTATTTACAATTGTACATTTCAGCACATTTCGCCCATTCTGGTTTCAGAAAGAAAAAAAACTCATTAGTCCTGCATTTCAGTCTTGGAGCTCTTTTCACTGGCTGCACATCTTTCTTTGGCCCTGCGCAGCCACTCCTTTATCTGGTGGACGTCGTCGAGTGTGCACTCCTTGTGGTGGCGTGTCCACTGAACAGCCGCTAAAAGAAAGCATTAAAACACACAGAACAGATGTGAATATGCATACTTACAGAGCACAATTTTGGTGAACCTAATTTCTCTGAATTTCAGCTTGCCCTTACAGCCATACATGCTGAACTCGCACGCAGCTTGATTGCTCATTATATAGGCCATCATGCCTTTCACAGTCAAATTTAATGACCTTGAACCGTAGGACATAAGGTCACGGACGTAGAAGAAGTGTACAAGACCCATGTAACTTTTCGCATGCAGGTGTGTCAGTGAAGTATTACAGCTATGTATCTTTGAAAGCTAGCAAAATAGAAACGTACTCAACAAAATTCAATCCTTTTAGAGTGGAATTTGCGTAAACTCTGCTGGCATACATTTTGCAAATCTGCTGCACTAGCATCTGAATGAAACATTTTGTTGAACTGTACCAGAGCTTCTGTTGTAGCTTCAGTGAGACACTCATTGAAGTCTAAAACCTCCTGAACATTCCTTAAGGGGCTTTGCAAGGATGGCTCGGGCTGTCGCAACATTTCAATTTCCTGAATGGCAACGCTTCTGTTGGTTAGCTGCTAGCATCTCAGCATTTCAGCCTGGTTGTGCCTAAGGATGCTCAAGTGCGTGATAAAATGACGCTGAAATTCTAAAAAAAAACAAGAATGAACAATGAATGAGTGAAGAACAAGCGACTTCCACTAGAAAACTTACCAGCAGAGCTCAACACTGTTCAGGATTTTTGTCGAACAGCTGAAACATTTTTTACAGAAATTAGTTACCCAACCCAAGTTTTCATGAGTACAAAAATAAGATGAGTGAGTGGATTACAAAAGACAATGGGGCTGGCTTCTAAATTCTGCTGACAGCTGCTTGAATTCTGGACCCTCAAGGAAACATCCTCGTACGTGTGCACTACTGAACTTGATGAGTCTGATAATAAACAAAACAATTGATTATTACATAATGTGATCTTGAATTTATATGCATTAAGCAAGAAAAGTACCTTTACTTTGAAAAATGTTTTTACAATGACATTCTTCCTACGGTCCTTCCTCCTCAACTGACCCTTTGGTTCTGATAATCAATGAAATAACTATGTGATGCGAGTTTGATCATATGTGCATTAAGCACAAAAATTACCTTTATGAAAATTTTTTTTACCTGGACACTCTTTCGCACTATCTGTTGCACAAGCAGCCGTCTGTTCATGGTCCCTCCTTCCAGACTCTGGTTGGGCTTGGTCACATGGCTCCTGACTAAAAGCTGCAAAAATATGTACGTTGAATGGCACGAGAAAAAGAAAACACATGGCAATCGGTTGTGAGGGATATCAGCCCTGAATTTTCCCTAATTGTGTGCACCCTGGAAGCTCAAATGAAACAGGAAAGCTTGCCGTAAAAGCTAAGAAACTTCATGAAAATTTTTAATATGCACTCTGAAAGGCACTTTTACTATACTTCACTTGTTTATTTTTAATTTGCATCTAATTCACGTGGCAGTGAAGGTAGATTGCGAAGGTTTAGAAGATGGTATTGTTCTGCACCACAAATGAAAAACCCCGACCAATAACCAGTGCACAATATTGGGAATCAGCTTTTCACCCAGCCTATACTAGATAGTATACACATCCAGAGTTCCAGTGCAAATAAGAAGGTGACCTATATATATTATACAAGCAAAATAATTTTACGTACATGGTGTGCTGTGCAGAAAGCTGCAAAGGAGGTGCAGGAGGGCCGTCAGAATCGGAATCTGAGCTGGAAAAGTAGCGCTGGGGCTTGGTCTTCTTCCTTTTCTTAGTACCGAAATTGTCGGAACTAGAAAGATCTCGCTTATCTACGAGCTTTGCCAAGTTTGCACGGCATTCTGCATATGTGCCTGTAAGTGTAACATGTACTGTGGTTTGTTAACGACTCTAATTTTACACTCAATTATTAAATACAGTTAGCATGCATGAATTGAAATGCGAACAGAAAATAACAGCTCATAGCTAGTAATAAAGTGTAAAATCTAATCACTTACTGCCGATATCTAATGATGCCTGAAGTACATTCAGGTCAAAGCACTTGCCTCAAGCTAACCACGGGCTGTTACATGAGCAGGTGACTCAACAAAGTACAGGCATTCACAATTCGCTTGGTAATATTTGAAATAGCTCGTAAAAGTCTAGGTCGGCCAAATACTCACGAAATAAGCCTTTCAGTCTCGCATCATAGGTGATAAATGTATCGTCTGGTTCCTTAAGGGGCCAAACCATTCTTTGTGCTTTTTCAGTAGGCCCTTTCGGCCACTGACACTTCTTGCCATTCACCCACGTGGACGGTACCACCTCGACCAATTGTCAGGGCGAAATTCAACAAGTGCGAACATCTGAAAAGATAGTAGTCACGCACGTATCAAGACACAGTATTGAACAGCATATATATTTTGAAAGATGTGGCATCGCTGCATAACGCTCTATCGTCCTGGCCCAGACGTACGCCAACACGTGTTTTCGGAAGCGGATTAATTACTTGCAGCGTGCACCAGGGTGAAATGGCAGCGATATGGGTTAAAGAAAAAGAACAGCTATGTATCCTATATAATGGCCATATATGATAAAGTACTTACCTCGTTCTGCTAGACTTGAAATGTACCGCACCGACCATGCTGCTCCGACAACCCGACGAATGTAAAATTTACGTGTGGTACGCACCATGCGCTCCATACACACATGGTGCTAGCGATGACACTGCTGCCGCGTCGCAAATGTTTCTCTAAAAAAACTGAAACAAATAACAAATCACAAAAATGGTGTTTTTAATTTACGCTATTTGATAATAATTATCCTCAAAAACGGTTGTATTGCACTGCCTAATTGTTAAATATTATAAAGCTACTTTAACGAGGTTGTTTATATTGACGGTGATCTATCTAAACAGCGGAGAAAAAAAGTTTCGTCTGGCGAGCCATCGCCCAGTCAAGCCAAGCCACTCGATTTGTTCTGTTAGTCCTGTGGATAATGGCGGCGTGCTTGTAGTGCCAGTGCAGATACGATTGTGCCAATGCAGATACACATGCTGTGCCAGTGAGTGTGCGAGCATTTGCGTGCGTGGGGCTGTCAAAAACACTGCGGCTACATGAGCAGCTACTTAGGCGGATTGCTGCAACTCGGCACCCACTGAGGGCAGTCCGCCTTGCGTCACCGAAAGTGACTCAAAGGACACATCGACCACAAAAAGTTCACCCTGTTCGCCCAGGGGAGCATCGCACACTGAACCCGAAGGCCCGCTAATGCAACTCAGCGATGTGCCTTCTCCTAAAAGCGGAGTCCCGGAGGTACCTGTTTGTTCATCTTTCACAGATGCATTGTCAAAGCACAAAGATTTTGTTGTGTCACTGCACAGTTGGGACATCAAAGAAAATGTTACTCATACAGCTTTGTCCGCTCTTCTAAAAATTCTTAAGGTCAGTACTTTCGATTCTTCATCTGTGCCTAGCGACGCTCGTACTCTTCTCGCCACGCCTAGAGATAGATACCCAGCGTGCACCTGTTGTCAGTTCAATGGTACCGGGACAGTACTACCACTTTGGGCTACAGAAAAGTGTCGAGAATGCTTTGTCAAAAGCACGTTACGAAGGCAGTCAAGTTTCTCTTGCCTTTAACATTGACGGGCTGCCAATTTCCAAAAGATCCACCATGCAGTTGTGGCCCATACAGTGCACGATCTATGAAGATCGAAGAATACCACCCTTTGTAGTTGGAATTGTCGCAGGCCCAGCAAAGCCTGCTTCAGCCAATGAGTTTCTCAACCAACTTGTCAGTGACCTGCAACAGCTTCTTTCCCAAGGGATGATTATTCATGGGTACATAATTGATGTTTCTTTGAAGTGTTTTGTTTTGGATGCCCCAGCACGATCATTTGTGTTTCAGATTAAAGGACATACAGGTTATTCTGGGTGTCCTAAGTGCACAGCTGAGGGTACATACAGAAACAGTCAGCTCAGCTTCCCTACTACGTCATCCACTTTGCAGGATAACAACAACACCGGGTTTATTAACCCAAGATGCAGCACAGTGCGACACTCACGGGCTTGCAGGCCGTATAGGGAACTCCGCAAAACCGAGCAAGTACGCTTGCCTAGGGCGCGACGACTCCCGCACAAGGGCCGAAGTCGAATGCACGAACGAGAAGCCGCCTGCTTAGCAGCGCGTCAACCCCTACTGAAGGCCTGAGAGCATCTGTTGCGACGAGCGAATCGTCGGGCGCAACACAGCTCGCAGGAGAGGAGGATGTCACGTGCGCTCAATGGGAAATGGCGCTGCGTTGTGACGTAGGCCCGCGCAGCGCACCAGCGTAGCCTGCCCGGACATGCCAGCGCGGGAAGAAGCTGGCGATTAACTGGCCCAGACCAAGAGGCGCCCTGGCAGCCATCTTGGCGGGGTCCGGTGCTTATGCACACCCGGGCTACTCTGTCGGCGCGCGTGCGGCAGCTGGGAACGAGGCGCCAGGTAGGAGGGCGCTCTCGATTCCCACAAGCTATAGGCCCATAGCATTGACAAGCTACCTATGCAAGGTTTTTGAAAAAATGCTGAATAGACGATTGATGCATTTCCTTTAAACAAGTAGCCTGCTTGACCCATACCAGTGCGGAATCCGAGAGGCTAAGTCCACTACTGACCACCTTGTCCGTATCGAGACACAAATTCGTGATGCTTTTATTCATAAACAATTCTTTCTGTCAGTGTTCCTCGATATGGAGAAGGCCTATGACACTACGTGGCGCTTTGGCATACTCCGAGACCTGTCACACCTAGGTGTGCGGGGCAGAATGTTGAAAATAATCGAAAGCTACCTGTCTAATTGGACATTCCGTGTTTGAGTGGGCACTGTGTTGTCCCGTACATTTGTTCAAGAAACAGGAGTGCCGCAAGGAGGGGTACTGAGTTGTACACTTTTTATAGTGAAAATGAACTCTTTGCGTCTCGTTATCCCACGGAATATGTTTTACTGTACATATGTTGGCGATGTGCAGGTCGGCTTTAAGTCCTGTAAGCTCTCAGTGTGTGAACGTCAGGTTCAACTTAGTTTGAACAAGGTCTCTCAATGGGCAGATGATAATGGTTTTAATCTGAATGCACAAAAGAGTACCTGCATCTTGTTCTGCCGAAAGAGGGGCGTTCATCCCGATCCCGAGATTGACCTGCATGGTCAACGTCTGTCTGTGAAGATAGAGCATAAAATTCTGGACCTAATATTAGACACAAAACTAATCTTCATCCCATACATCAAGTATTTAAAAGACAGGCGTTTAAAAAGCATGCATATTTTGAAAGTGTTATCACGAACTAAGTGGGGTTGTGACAGGAAATGTCTGATGAATTTATATAAAAGCCCCATACGCACGCGCCTAGATTATGGTGCTATAATCTATCAGTCTGCGACACCATAAGCCTTAAAGATTCTCGACCTTGAAACAAACAATTTAGTTGACCCATTTCAGTTCGGGTTTTCGAGAGGGTATGTCCAGCACAGACCACCTTGTCCGTAACGAG